ATAAATCATGGAAACGTCACTGTAAAGCATCTGTAAGCACAGCACTTGCAAATTTCAAGACTCAGAAAAATGCAAACATCGTGAAAACTTGTAAATACAACTATGATATTAACGGTGAAATGTCGAGATTACAATATTGTTGACATATATAAAATATAACAGAATAATTAGTAAGAGGAGAAATCAAATTTTCCGCTTCATTAATACTGAACACGAAGACTTGATAGAATTTTAATAGGTAACATCATTTTGATCAATTACAATAATACTAGAACGAATTTACCACCTGAATATTCTAAATTGTTGTCGATTCCTCGCCCCTTTTCAATAAGTTAGCTTAATTTCTAATATACGCCAATTTTTGATATCAACCTCCAATTCCAATATGAACCCAGGGGCTCAACTACCATAGAGATTGGTCCACGAACCCTCACTCCTAAGGGGGCCCCCGCCGATGGAAAAAATTTGTAACAGTCATTATAATAGCTTACTGGGGTGTCTTAGAATGCATGAGAACTTATGTTAAAACAATTTCCTTGCGTCAGGGTCCTCAACCTACTTTATTTCACGGACCCCCAATCACCTAGTTGCGCCACTGCCAGAATTTCCTTTCTTCAGTATAATCTACAAATTCTGTTCTTACGTACAATCAAACGAGCAATGTAAGGAAATGCTTCGCAGACCAAATATACTCTCTGAGATAGAGATAGGTAGTTTAAGTCTTAGTGAGTATTGACATTTCATCAAGGGGGGATAATCTTGAAAATATGATTTATTATTAGTGATCGGTTTATTGAGGGTATTAATACTGTAGTATTAATCTATTTATATCGCTGTTTATTATCATACCGTATTACTCCGTATTATAGTAGGCTTATAGATGTCATAAGTTCACATGGGCAGACAACTCTTCCTGTGTGTGAATAGTATGGACACCTCGATTGCAAGTAATGATCCCTAAATTAGGATTCTACCTTCACCGACTCCCCAAACAGACAAATTAATATAACTCCGTATTTTGGTAGGCTTAGAGATGTCATAAGTTTACATGGGCAGACAACTCTTTCTGCTTTTTGCCACCATAATATGAAATTAACTGCAGAGAGACACCAGGTGTTCTTGAAGAATACGAGTTCTCTTGTTTCATTTATGTTTCAATCAAATGTTTTTATTTTATTTTGTAGAATGGAGTTGCTGGGCCATTTTGGTATGCTGTTGGTATCATGATCAACATATTTATCTTTCCGATTTTATCAGTTCAATTCAAAACTCGGGCTCCGGGCGCCAAAACCTACTTACAGGTAAGGCTCTTTCATTTTGCTTCCTTTACCCACTTTGCTGCTCCAGTGGGGTAACCGGAATTAACAGATAAGACACATTATCTGAGGGTGGGAAAACATTCTCACCTCACAAACCTACAATCGTGTCTGTCCTAAATCTAATTATTGTTTCGTTTCATGATTTTACACATTGCATAATTTGAATCAGAATGGAATAAAAAACCGAAACGAAAATAAAGTCACCGAAAGCCAGTGCTACATAAGCCTATGATTTCTTCAATCTGAAAGACCATTTAAATCTAAGTATTCTTTCGTTTCATATTTTTTGCACATTCCACGATTTGAAATTGGAATGAATAAAAAAACCGAAACGAAAATAAAACGACTTCAAGTCAGTGCCACCCATATCGGATAGTGTAGCAATGCACTTAATACTACAGCCTTGACCGAATTGTACACAAGTTATTGCCCTTGGCCTTGAAACATATCTGTGTGAAATCTAAGTGATACAAGCCATATGGTAGAAATTAGAACCACCAGGTTCTAAATTATAAACATCAGTGAGGGACTGTGAATAGTCCGAACATTCTTACCTTATTCCAGCTAGGTTTGGATTGAAATACAAGTCTTAAAGTGCATATTTCGTTTAATAATTTGGGGTTTTGAGGGTTTTTTTTATTTTTGGGCGAGTTGACTACATTTTAGCAATCTGATTGAAATGCAAAATTTGTTGTTTTGTTTCGTTTTTTTCCTTCTTATTTTTATCTATGTGGATTCCATGAAAGGCATACTGAGTTGACACACCTTAATACCCAAAATACTTATATTTGTTATGTCGACTCTCTGAGTAAACAAACATGAATACCGTTTAACCTTTAATAGCTATGTTGACTCTCTGAATGGGATACCAGTTGACACACCAAAAGGACAAATAAACAGTTTAACTATGTGGACTCTCTGAAAGAGATACCAAGTTGACAAACCTTAATACCATATAAAAAATTATTGACTATGTGGACTCTCTGAAAAGGATAACGAGTCGACACATCGAATAACAAATAAACAATATTAGCTATGTGGACTCTCTGAAAGGGTTCTGACTTGACAAACTGAAATACCAAAAGAATAATATTAGGTATATGGGTTCACTAAAAGGAATACCAAGGTTGACAAACTTGAATACCCAAAATAATAGGCTACTATTTGATTCTCCGAAAAGGATGCTGAGGTGGTTCCGATTAGTGAGCATGGCCTTTCATACTGAAAACAGTTATTTTCATTAGAAAAAAATGAGAGATGTGCAAGAACAAAACAAAACAGACTCTCTCGGTGACTCTGGGTAATTATGGAATCTAGGTGAAATTAAAGAAATGTTTAAACAAGCATGACAAACATCTGAGAACTACCAGAAACCTGAGAAATTAATTTTACATGCTACATTTCATTTACTATGGTACCACATGCCTTGAAGCTCTATATTTTATACAAATGCCAGATTCATAAAATGAATTTTTATTAATCTATATTTTGGTTTTGTAAATAGTGTGTCAAGTTTGGTGTTCAAATCAATGCCTTTAGAGGGAGTAATTCCTGTTTCAAAGACTCCTGATTGTTAATAGTTTTGTTTGCAAATAGTTGACACTATAAGTTATATTTCCAAATTCAAAAAATATACTGGACATTTGGTGTTCTGTTAATATGAACTTTTGGTTGTTGGCTTTTCAAAAACGGTCCGAATTTCTTTTTTTTATGGGCGTACGGGTCGAAGGTCTGTGGGGAGGGCAGGCTGGTTTGCCCGAAATTTTCTCACGAATTTCTCCTGCATTTTTCTTTGTTTCGGGTTATTGCCCGATATTTTTTTGGTCGCTGCCCGAAAGATTCATTTCCAAATCTCAGTTATAACTATTGTACAAATAATTCAAAATTCACCTTGTTAATTAATGCACACTGCAAACGGTCTTTGTCAAATCTTCGTTTCTTGACTGTTTTCTTAGCTAGACAAACATTCAGTTCAAATTGAGAAAAATATAATAAAAGGTGAACTTTTTCTCTTCGTCGGTGTTTTCAAAGAACCAAGTTGGACATTTTTAATAAAAAGCTTTTTATAACTAACCGCTACCTAGAACGTCTTTCCGGTATTTTACTCTGAAAAACAGCAAGTAGTCAAAGAATTGTCAGGAAACCGCAAAAGGTTCCTGCGGGCTATAAAACCTCTTAAAACCATAAACGATAACATAAAATCAGTGCTATTATTACTATTGTTAAAATTCTCTTTGTAGGGTGTATATAGCTATAGGGTTCGAATCTTCCTTTCTTAATTCTAGCAGATAATTGGCGAATAAATGGAATCGGCTTTTAAACATATAAAAATAGGTTTTAAAGTTGATTATCCCCGATAATGGTTGTATTTTAAGGCGGATATAGGTTATTTGGAGAGTTAATAATGGATAGAAGAGCTGTAAAAACATCAAATATCTGGTCATCGACAGCTCCTTCAAATAATCATCTTCATAAATATAGTCTGTGCTTATAAATTCAGGACGGTGAGATCTACAGATATGGGCGTGGCGTGGTGCCCCAGGTTCTCTCGTGTTCAGGGTGACATCACTCAAGACACCATATTCTACAGTTCCACTGTGAGTCTTTCCAAAATCTGGAGCTATAAACCAGGACGATGTGATCTCCAGACTTCATGCATGGACATTGCTGCCGTGGGCACATAGAGCGGTGCAGTTATTCTCGTGTTAGCGGTTTATTCAATTTTTCAGACGCCAGCACAAACGTGTTCCGCTTTCAACATTCATCATCAAAAATTCCACAGAAATTTATCATTGTTCCAAACACAATCTGTTGGCTTGTTGGACATCGTAATTTCGCAAAGCGTCAAGGCAGCGTCACACCAACAGGGTCTCTACGGGGCTTCAAATATCGTGAATTTATTTACACCCAGAGACAGTAAAGTATCTCAAGAAGAACGATATGTGTAAATGTACATAAAAGAAGAATTAAATAGACCAGTTGAATAGGCTCCGCAATAGAAATTACTCATTCTCCAAACCGTCAGGAATTTATCTACTTTGAATCCTTTATATCAATTGACAAATGGCTGTAAGGGGCTGCTTATGACATTGATTTCACACTTACTGAATGGCGAACGGAAGAGAAAGATAGCTTTATTCTCAAGTCTCTTTGAGAAGTCTCGAGAAGGCGATAAGTGGCGAGAACTGAAAAGCGAGTTTGTCTGTTGATTAAACGGACATCGATAGTCAATCGAGTTGGCAACCGCGTCTACTTGTTGTCATGGTTGTAAGCGGCCTTGACAGTTTATTAGAAGATTATTAAGATTCCATGAGAGCAGCCGACAATTGGAAAATGGTGGCAGACGTCCAAGGGTCTTTCCAGGTCATCAGATACACAACTATTAACAGCATTATTCACCAGTGGCAGGTCAAAGGTCACCGCTCTTTTTGTTTAATGTAATACAGAGTTCTACGTCCTACTTACTTCTGTTCCAAGAAGAATGGCATTACCATCTACAAAAAGAAGGCGGCTTAAGCCTACTGTTTTTATTTCCAACTGTGAAGAGTTCTTTAACGTACACAACCTGATACATACGGAGCCTTAGTTCTTCTGCTAACAATGACACTGATTGCAAATTATTCTCTTCGAGCTGCGTTATCGACATGGGGGCGTACGGGCGGTTCAATAAAGTCGGGGGAAGCTAATAAAAATTCAATGGAATTTGATTTGGTTTATCCTTCCTTAGCTCGACAAAAGATTTACGTGTCGATATCTGTCGAGAGCTCTAATTGGCTGTTTTCACTGGCGTACAGTCCAATCCAATCGCTGCATTCCGTTATACAGGAAAAGTTGTTTTTGCAGTCAAGGTATAAGACGAAGTTCGTAATAGCTAGACATGCTGAAGATGGTTAACACCTAACAAAAGACTTCTTCTGCTTGTAGAATTAATTGATAAGGCGATAATAAAACAGTTGCTTTCATTGACTAGGTCATGTGCGAACATCAGGTATGTTTTGAGTGCGAACATCGGGTACATGTATGTTCTGGGTGCGAACATGGTATTCCTTTGCTTCTATATTGTTTTTATAGCTGGAAAGGTCGATACTTTATATAGTTTGAAAGCTTACAGAATACAATGTACATACGTAAAAACAGAAGATATTAATTGGTGCACACATTCTTAAATTTACATTCATTCTTATAGATCATAAATATATTATCAAAGGGACAAATGCGGCATTTTAATTCTGGACAAACGTGGATTTGAAGGCTCAAATTTCGACGGTGAACTGTGAACGCTATTACTGAATGGCATAACTTAAAAATTCCCGTTTCTGAGACTAAAGTATGATTGGTAAAAAAAAAATGGCACATCTGTCCATTTAAAGAATATAGATAAACTATTTCATATATTGATTAACTCAACGTGTCACATGATCATAAAGGCATCGATGAGGATCTGTTAGGATCTGCGAGTGAGGATCTGTCTCCAAGTCCAAAAGACTTCCAGATTGCACCATTTTCTACTACACGTGTTCATAACCGAGTTTCTCTCATGTGGAAGAGTCCAATCTAAATAAATTAAATATTATCGCTGAAAACAAGTATCAAAATTACTGGGTTAGGCTTACGAAAACTTAGTCCATGATAATTGTTCTAGTCATCTGATTGTTCAATCAGCAAAACAGTTTTTAATTTTAGAGAGTTCCAATTTAGATTTCGTGAACTGCACTTTATTTCATTTCACTTACATTTATAACCGGAGTCCTTGATAGAGGCGTGTAACAAACTAATTAGGCGAGTCGCTCCTTTCAACATGAAAATCAACAAAATACATAGACGATAAGAATCGATAAACAATACACAAATGTTTTATACTTTTACAAATCGAAAGGTGACAAGCGACAGCCTACGTTAAACCATTCGGCAATCCTCGACTGTTTCTGTAAAGCTGAATCTGTCTCGGTAATGAATGGTGAATAGCGTTGTGTCTTCATGGGCGAGACTCTTCACTTACAGTTTTTAGCAGTGATCTGTGAAGTGGTCGTACTATTGCGACCTAAATATAGTCCTTAGATTTAGAGACTTAAGCAGATAATTCTGATAATGCATTTAATGTTTTATAGCTTCTACTGGTTTGCCAATGATACATTTTATTATCAGTTTGAATCTACTGCTTACGAATTTTTTGTTTTCATGGTCTTTATTTACAAACATTGTAGCCCCGGACGATGTTGGATCTACAAGAATCACGTGACAATATTGACATACTTCCGGTAAATAATGGCTGCCATTCATAACGGCAATATGGTGCAGAGCGCTAGCGTAATTTTCACGGTTGGCCGTTTGGCGTTCAACAGCAGGCTTGCTTTGTTCTTGATTTATCTGTAACTTGTTTATAGACTTAATGAATCGAGTAATATTTACATCTTACCGTTCGCGACAATAGATCTATCAAGAAAACATCAAAACAATGGATCTGTTGTCTTGACAAATCTGGGGTTTTCTTCAATTAATAATGTACTGATTTGACTTAAAGATCTAAGCACTTCAATCCGTCTGCAACATGTTACAAAAAATAATGACAACAATGGAACATCATGAAGACTTTTAAGAAACGGAACGAAAGTTTGATCTGATTTTAATTTTAAAATTCTCGACGATAATGAGATGAGAGAACTTTGCATCGCCATCCTTCAAGATATATCAACTCCAAGATCAGCCCTATATATTAAAGTTGTGTGAATCTTATTAGGAAATTCATTTGATCATTGAACGAACGGCTGATCTTATCCTATAGTCTCAACAATCGACGGCAGCAATCGACGGTATTTTCCTTCTACCAAGTCTCAAATCAATCAAGACCAATCAACATCAATCAATAACAAATGAATCGTAAATACATCTCATTATTAGATTAATTAAAAAGATAAATCAATTAATTCTCCAATTAATAATTGAAGGCTTGTATTTCCTGTTTATTTCCTGAAATGTCCCCTATCTTGTTTTTTTATTGTTCGTATTCTTGCAATGTCTTTATTTATTTATCGCCATTGTGTTGTTCTCTCCATCGTCAATTTGAGGTCCAATACTTCCAGGTTTATTTAAGTTTGACCGAGTTTTAGAGTTCAATACAACTCAATGGGAAGTCACTATTGGAAATCCTAGTAAAAATCAAAACAATGCAATGCGCTCCATCGTCATTTTAGGTCCAATACTTATTTAAGTCGTCAATATTTTGTGGAAAAATATTGACCGGATTTTAGAGTTCAATACAACTAAATGTGAAGTCACTATTGATAATCGTAGAAAGATCAAAACATCAATATATTACCTAATTCTTTAAGGTTGTGCCAAAGAACAATTTTGTTCTTTTTTTTTATAGCTAATCTTGTAACCTTTCTCATAATCTGGCTAGCATTAAGCAATTACAGTGCATTCTGGCCACAAAAAATACAATTTGCTTGGTATTTGGACACGGTGTTTCATAGTTGTATTTCATCCCTCAAGACAAATATTTCGTTTAAATCACAAGAACGAATGTCACAATTTCAAACCTTGAGGGCTTTTTGATTATACATGTAATTTTGGAACACTTGAAATAAGACTCACAAGAGCGTAGGTTGACATTGGCTTATAATAGAGAGATGTCTAAGTTATTACCCGGTCATACGAAATAACGCGCGTGATGTAGATACCAGCATTATATCACGAACACAGATAACCACCATTTAAGAGTCGTGGCTTCACCAGAAATACGTGGCGTTCTGTCAACAATTTCCATTTCAGAATGTTCTGAAAGTATGATAAATACATACTATTGCACTAAGCACCTGTTAAATAGGTCGTTTTTTATCAACTATAAGAAACCTTATGTTTAATATAGTAAGGTTAAAATACATACAGACAGAACCGGAAGTGTAAAGACATCTAGTAGAGTTTAAATCATCTTTTTTTTTATCTGAAGTCTAATGAAAACTATTAGAATAGAACTTGTAAGAGTATGTTACGTTCAATTTGCATTAATAGTAATCTACATTAATCTACATCTACTGAATTATGCAGGCGTTGTCGTATATCAGTTAGAGAAACATTTCAAATGTTTTCCGTTTCAACTTCCTCTGAACTATCTGTTTGAAACCTAGAAATGGATTCTTATCAAGTTGAATTATTTCCCTGGCTGGCATTTAGCATATTTAGTATGGTGTAAAAATGAAATGAAATGAATGGAGTTTTACGTCCTACTTTTCTGCACCATGCTGGCTAATGAAGACAGGCAACGCCATGCAGGGTGCAATGAGAGAAATTTTGCCAGGACAGCGGCATTAGCCTGCTGTTTTGCGATTTCCAACTGTCGAGGGATCTTTAACGTGCACAGCCTGTAGCACACGCTTTTTTCCGTTTCAGCCCTGCATCACTGACAGGGGGAAACCGGGTTGAAAAATCCGAAGGTATTATCTCGACCTATGCCGGGATTGAACTCTGGACCTTCAGGTTAGCGAGCAAGCGTCTAACTCACTGAGCCACCGCGGCTCCCTAGTATGGTGTGTATAAGGCTTTTTGAGAAATGCTGTATTATAACTAAATCTTTTGCTATTTGTGGTGGGTCACCCCCTGATATTCACTGGATTGACTCAAATATAAATATGGGTTTCATATTACGACGTGGGTTCAACTTTCGAAGAGACCACACAAGTTATGATAATTCCTTAATATTTTGGATTTATTAACTGCTCCGTCTTCATTAGCCCAATTAGGTGCGGAATAGTAGGATACAAAACGACATTCATTTCATTTTGTCGACTGGTAACCCCTTTAACAGAGGCCACATAGCTAATAATATTGTGTATTTGGGTTAATCCCTTTCAAACATTCAACATACTTGTATATTTATTCCATTTAAAAATTAATTATTTCAGATCATCCATGCCAGATTTGGAAAAGCAGCACACATTTGTTTCTGTTTCTTCGCTCTGCTGTGTAACTTGGTGATCACTATTGGAGTATTGCTTGCAGGCCGAGCTACTATTCAATCGCTTACCAGGGACGCAACGGATGAGTTCTCAGTGCTGATCATGGCCACGTTGTTCGGATCTTACTCTCTTATTGGTGGACTGGGTACCACATTCTACGTCTCTTACTTCAACGCTTGCCTGGTCTTCATCCTGCTTATAGTCTTCGTGGTGAAGATCCTCCATAACACCGACAGCGAGTTCCATACCATTGGAAACTCAGAGAATATGTACAAAGCCATTTCCTGTATTCACGGACCGGAAGAGAACAACGGAAACAGCTTTCTAACTTTCCGATCAACGGTTGCGTTCTTGTACGGAGTGATAGAAGTCTTCGTGTCATCAGCCGTAACCTATTGCGACCAAGCGTCCTGGCAGAGTCGTATTGCTGCTAAGCCAATTCAAGGCGTCTGGGGTTTTATTTTGGCTGGGTTTATATGGTTCTCCATCCCGTCAACCATGGCTACTACTACGGGTATGGCCTACTTAGCTTTGAGCTCCAGTAACGGCAGTCATCTTTTGCTACCAGGGCAGATTGACGAAGGTAAGTTCTTACAATGCTGCTTGAACTCCATGTCGTTCATCATTGCGAAACATTTAAGGGCATTGTAGAATAACGGTGGTATAAAATTTGGTAATCATTGCAACACGCCGCATTATTTCCGATGTTTTACATTCCTTAATCCTCTCCTCTCCTTTTGGTAACCTCATTGTGTGCTTTACCACATGGTAGTACCCATTCTACCATTTTTATCAGACTGCTTACTTTGGATACTCTTCATTAGATGAAAAGTAAAGCGTACTGTTGTACTTTAGACTGACGTGTTATGGATATATTGTAGGTCTAGTAACTCCTCTGATAGCAGAGAAGATCTTGGGTTCTGCTGGCGGTATTCTAGTATTAACTATGGGAGCTATGGCTCTCATGTCCACAGGATCTGGCGAGGTTATGGCTATCTCTTCTATCATCGTCTACGATATATACCAGACTTATATCAAACCATTCAGGTAGGTGGTCTTCTTGGACTTCTTCTGGATGTAGGTGTTTAAGGGGCCCCCACAGAAAGCCTTTTAAAATGTCCCTTTGGGCGACATCATTAGTTGTCCAATACATCGAGTGTGTACAAATATAATGGACCAGATAGCCAATTCTTCCCCAATTGTCTCATTGGTCAACTGCAACAATTAATGTTTTCAAAGTATTTTCTGCCAATCTGTTCATTGTAATTTAATGTTATTTCAGGAATCATCTAGAGAGTGCTCACTGTGTAATCTGTGGTAAAACTAAGAAAGAAGTGGCTAAGAGAACACGAGGAGAGGTGATGAGTATATGTGACTGTACAGATGCTACCAAATGTCCCGGATGTTTAGACGACGTGCGCAATCAGTCTATGAAAGGCTCGTACTCTTCTAAACAAAGTTATCAATGTCCAACTCATGGCAGGTAAGACTATTAGACGAATGCTTGTGTTGGGGGTTTGGGGTTCGGTTCCGACTATCCCTCTCCATCTGAAGTCATAAATCCCTACTTTTCAACTTGTCGGGCATTAAATGCATTCACCCCAAATGTTCCAAAAACACACAGAGTTCATGCTCGTGTTGATAATATAAGTGTCCTAACTGACCAATAGCCACAGAAATACAGTTGTGCACCGTCAAGACCAAGAAAACGCCAAAAGGTGCGGGCAAGATAACGCGGCAAAATCCATTCAAAGTGTCACTGTACGCGACGTAAAACTCCATTCTGTTCAATTTCAGATTCCGGGAATACAATGAAGTATTGATAGAGTTTAAGAACTGGTGTATTGTATGGGTAACAATCGGCATAATACCTCTTGGCTTAATCATCTTCGAATCAGGCATCGATCTGAACTGGATCTTCTATGTCGGAGCAATCGTTACCATCCCTTGTTTTCCACCAGTATTATTATCAGTCCTGTGGGTCAAGGCGACTGGAAAGGGTCTTATAGCTGGTAAGTGGGTTACTGTTCTGGTTCAGTGAGTTCGTTTACATTTCACATACGCCTTAAGTCCTAAAACGCAATTGTTCTACCATGAACGACGACAGAATAAGAACAGACAGAACCTGTACAGAACGAACCAATCGTGCGCTACTTATGTGTACGCTTTTTATATGCTATGAGTGAAAATCCAATCCTAAAGTGTTCCAAAGGATGCACATAACTATCTTATCGAATTGAAATATCTTTGCAGGTTGTATCTGTGGGTTAATTTGCGGTATTACAGCTACCCTTTCAACAGCAACAATCTACGAAGGAGGGTTAAACAAGTTCTTAATCAACACTGTACAAGATCACGCCATTTTGGCGGGAACATGTTGCAGTTTTGGCGTCAGTTTGATCGTCTGCATCATTGGCTCGCTGCTGACTCACAAAATAAACAACAAAGACGACGAAGATTTCGAATGGTTTAAAATGTACGACATTGATAATCCCCTGAATCCTTGGGAACTCAACTTCCGGGAAGATCTGAAAGGTATGGTGTACGACGTTCGACCAACGTTTGAGCAGATGAGCAAAGCCTTTAGAACAGCTAAATTAACAGCATGGATTGCAGGTGGTTGCAGTATATTGCTGTTTGCTGTTATAATTCCCGGCATTATGGCGAGCTTCCCTTTGATGGATCAAACCCAGTTTTCTATGTGGCTAACATTTACGCAGGGGTGGGCTGTTCTGATGGCTGTTATTGTAATTGTTGCTCCCCCCACCGAGGAAATTATGAGAATTGTGAAACAATGTCGGAAGAATCGCGGAATGACCAGTCAGCTGCTGAAGGGTCCGATTCCTGAGCACAATGAAATGACTGTTAAAACCACAGACTATCTGCTGAGTAACAATGAAACCCCAACTCATGTGTGAGTCTAATTATTAGGATAGTGAACTGTGAATCTGTGTTTTGATATATTTAGTTTCATGAACAACTGGGCAACTGACTTTAATGGCGACCAAGCTCGGATAGGAGAAGTTTAGACTACAGCTCGCCTAGCTCGGAGAGGAGATCTTTAGAATATAGAGCCAGGGTTGTTCTTTGATATATTTAGGTTTATGGACGACTGAGTAACTGACTATAATGACGGCCTAGCTTGGAAAGGAGTATAGAATATAGCGCAACGGGTTGTTCTATGATATATTTAGTATCGGCAACGGACCTCAATGGCTAAGAAGAATTACAGCAGGTTGATTTTCGATGTATCTGGTTAATCTGTAAACGTTGATCGAACTTGGAATTGGGAATCCTTACAATCTGATAGTTTGGTTCGGAATGACCATTTTTCGAATCTACAGTCTGATGTTGTTTCTATAACTTTTAGTATAATGAACTGATGGCGAAAGGAATCGTAAATCAAGATTTGTAGATTAAAGTTTCTAACGTGAGACATCTTGTAGGTTTCAAATTAAGTAGAATTTTCTTAAACGACTGCTTGCAACTGGCTGCATCTTGGAGAATCGAACCAAGTGGTAGATTAAAATGACCTTAATACATTGGCGACTTCAATTGCAGCTCGCAGCTGTCACTAGATGATCATGTTCTACCTTTAACAACAATTAGATCTGGTTGTCGAACTGAACGGTCGAAATCTGCGACTATCCAGATGATGACAGTTGCTAGCAGTCGGTTAGTTTGTTAATATGAGCGTACATTGTAAATTGATGTTTTGGAGTCATACAAGTACGATAGTGATGATGTTGATGGGTGTGTAGTACAATGTTACATTTGTTGTGATTCAAGCACTATTCATAAGACCGTCGATCGAACTGAAACTCATCCTATTTACCAAAACTACCCCAGAGTAGCAACATGTTTCAGGTTCTGTTTTAATGTTTTAATATCAAATTGTCCAAAAGGGATGTCAGAATGTCAACAGAGTTCGCAAGGCAAGTGACCTTGATTCGTTTTTTTGCAAGGCTACTGCTATTCGTAGCAAGGTCAGAGAGCACCGATTGCCCCCTGAAAGAATTCTGACAACCGACCAATTCCATTACTGCAGGTAAACACCATATATCATTGCTTCTCTAGATATATTACAATCAAGTCTGGCGACGAGCCGTTTACATCGCCTCTTCTAGGATCGACATTGGTATTGGCGTTCGGACGACGGCTGTCTGAATTGGGCTTGAAATATTCTTATACTCTTTATAATCCCGTATAGGTTACTAGTTTTGTATCTATTAATAGGTGAGCCTACCGTTTGAAGTATTTGGTAGCGGAAACCGTAGATTAGTAGGTGTGTTCATCCAGGATCTAGTTCTCGACCAATTATATTCCTTGTAACTAATTATGGCGCGAAAATGATCCCGTAATTTTGTGCCGGTCTAGATCTACAAAATTATTGTTAATTGTTGTTGTTTATGGTCGTTAGTCACACCACTGTACATGCGGTGTAACTAAATAACGCAAATGTATTCATATAGACGTACAAAAGCGCAAACTAAGTCAAAACTGCTCCTAGTCTGCTTCACATTGGCCATCGTCATTGGATATAAGACACTGGTTGTTTCTTTTTGGGGGAAGTAGACAGTGTATCCAGTCCTTTTAATCACGAGTTCATTATTGACTCTAAATTCCCTAATGTATCACAAGATATCCGATCTAATGTCTACAGCAATACAACCAATAAGTCTTGGGAAACTCCGATTATTTCGTTATGGCTTAAAGGGATTGTAAAGAGGTTTTCTAAAAATCTTCTGTCTATTGGGGACACTGATAGCATCAATTCCAATTTTCATTCTGACCTTAGATATTGTTAACAACAATCCTTTTTTCAACAAGACGTCTGTAGTTCTTGCAATTCATCTTAAACCAAATGTTTGATGACGTCATTAATCGCAAAACATATTGCAGGAACCTGAAATTTATTGAAATTAAGAATGGGACAAAATGATGTTAACAGTGTCTCCAATACAGATACTAAATTTAGAAAACCTGTAACAATCCCTTTAATGTTACTTGAAATAGCTGTTCAGTGAAATGCCACCTTTGACCAAGGATTTATTCGAAGCAGGCCAATGAAGCAGCCTAATGAAGCAGGCCAATGAAGCAGGCCAGTGAAGCAGACCAGTGTAGCAGGCCAATGAAGCAGACCAATGAAGCAGGCCAGTGAAGCAGCCTAACGAAGCAGACCAGTGAAACAGACCAATGAAGCAGGCCAGTGAAGCAGGCTAAACCACTCGATGTAATATATATCATTCAATGTAGAGTATAAATAGAACATAAAATTGTCATAGATTATATGGAATGTTTTCACGTGTTATGTTTATATCATATATTATAATTAATATAGTTTTATATAGTGTTCAATTAATTATTGTGTTCGTTTCTTGTCCTTATCGGTACATTTAGGTTTAAGGCCACCCAAAAAGTAACTGATGGTCTGCTAAATGGTTGCAAATGGGGAGTAATATTGCCAGTAATTGGAGCTCTGGACTATTGATGTGATATATAAGCGAAGCAAAGAATGGGCCGTATTGCAGTCGGATAAAACGTTTTAATCTTACATGACGTTATTTGCTTGGTTATGTCGAAGAATTTGTGGTCGTTGGTTCTAATCTTAGTCGGCGTTTGAGAGACTGATGGCCTTGAACTCATCATTTCCTCGTTATTGAAGTCGACTAATCTGTAAATGAGTGCGGATAATCTAGGAAAGGCAATGCCAAGAGGTTTGATCAAGGAATGGCTGATAAACGCGAACCTAAATATTGCTTCTTCCTTTTTTTCTTTTTAAAGTGAGCTCACTTGATGTAGGTTTTCAATTCTTGAAAGAATCCTGGCAAATAACCCACAGAAATAATTGATTTCATTACACTTATTAAAGATCTAGTGAAAATTAGAAAAAAAATAATTGAGAAACCTACTAACGGCAGGGTCTATTTACTACGAACTCAATTTTGATGGCTTCTTAATTGATTTCGAGGACTGCAATTTACTTCAATAATATTCTATACCACCAGTAGCTAATGTGACTTTCCGCAGGTGATAGTGATAAATTGTAGTATAAATTTAACAATTGTAGCTATGTGGACTCTCTGAAAGGGGTATCTAGTAAACCAACTTAACTTCCGATTAGTAGCCCGTTACTTCTGTCCAGAATCAGCACCATCTGTAGCTAACAGAGTCAACAAGGCTCAATAAACGAAATACACCCTTTTGCACAAAGCGAGTTACATGTGGTTTTTGCAACACCGAAACTATTACAATACATTGCTACCGTGTTTCACTTAAGTATGCGAAATTTGTATTTGGGACTGAGATAATGAGTATTCATGGTATCATAAGTAGACAATCGGCCCTAAATATATTGCTATATAATATAGCAACGTGGTATCTCAACAGAACAAGGGAGATAACAGTAAAATGAACTTTATATTAATACATCAGACTACAAAAAGTAATAATGGTGATATCAGAATATCTGGGTGATATAATAACAATGATATGCTTCGGTTAATAAAATGTGTGTTATCACATGCATAATCTAGTTCGCTTGTCCAATATATGTTATTAAAATGATAAACAGCACGTTTTAACTAATGTATCATCAGAAAATCTAAAGAATAATATGCTCGAATAATCAGTTCAATGTATGCTATCAAACATGCTACATATCATTTAAAACATACTTATAAACAATATCAGGGCATTGTTAATATACTTAGTTCGTTAATAACACTATGTTACAGAAAATACTATAACAGAAATAGCTAATGATCTCCACAGACTAATCAAAAGTACGGAGTTAGCTAATAACACTGCTTGATATATTACAGCCAACACGTTAAATAACTCTTTGCTAGTTGATTAGAATGCACATCCAGTGGCGATACCATTTGGACCATGCCCTCGTGTCATAAAAAATGAAAAATGTATTCTACTTTCACTTTAAAAATCTTGTTAACTGTATTATCCGTTTCACACATTAGAACATTTTCCAAGGGGAGACTCTGACCCTCTTCGTGACTTATTCCCTCTATAATACGTAAAGGGACAGCAACACCAAAACCCCCACCCCGTCAATAGAATCCTCGCTACGCCACTGTGCACATCTCGACGTTTGGTTTCGTATGTTTGCTTTGGGTTATAAGATTAAAAGGTTTGTTAATAACACTGTGTTATGTATATTGTTGCTATAAACAATTTGACCTTACTGATCAATTTCTACGATGCCTGTAACGTTCTAGTTTCACGTTCACACAGCGCTATAGTCTCCTAACCAACGCCTTGAAACAGTTCCTCACCAAACGTGGTCAGATAATAAGTCCAATACACTATATTAAACGAGATAAATATAAACGGGAAGACTAGACGGGAGATATTATCCATCAACTGGGCACATTCTATTCCCGATACCCGCTTTCTCTGTTTGATCTCTTCGTGAGCGAACCTGATACCTCCTTCCAACATCACCATTGTCTGCAATGTAAGATAAATTACAAAAAATGCCGAGTTGACCAAACAAGTTTCATTCATCTTCACCCTGTTAAGCTATTACGAACTTCGTCTAATGCCTTGATATCATTAGGCATATATCATTTTAGCATATAGTGTATAGCTTCATTGGTAATGATGGGTTTCACTATACAGAAGAATGCCTAAAGGGTGTACGGTGGTTTTTCTGATTTCAGGCAAAGTTACCCATAGATAAGGCCACGTATTCTCGAAACTATCCTAGAGCTGGGATAACCTAAACAAATTGTTAGAAGTTAAGACCCTCGGATATCCGAGGAGCGATAAGATCGTTTCGATGATCATTTTATCAGGATACTACTAAATTATTTAACATTTACCTCTTTCATCAATGCCCCATTATCAACAGGCATCGCTGCAGAGTCTTTCCTTTGTGCCGTCTTGACTTCATCTGGATAGCTGCGTCTACTGATGAAGTTGACAATGGCGAACTCCAGAAGAGCTGCGAAGACGAACAACAGACACGTGGACATCCATATATCTATAGCTTTAGTATAGGAAACACGTGGTAGTGACGCATTGACTCCTGAACTCTGGGTCGTCATGGTCAACACGGTTAAAACACCCAATGAAATTCGTCCGGGAACGGAGGTGACGGTGAGCCAGAATGATATCCAGGAAATGACGACAATGAGTATACTGGGGATGTACATCTGTATGATATAGTAACCTATATTCCTCTCCAGATGAAACAACGCCTCTAGACAGCTGTGGTTACCTACAAAGTTAAAAAAAAAGTATTTTAATGAACAGGCATGGATTTTTGAAAGAAAAACTCATGGTATGTGTTTACTTGCATTACATAACGTTTGAGCTTTACTGCACATCCGACAAATCTGACTCTGGCAAGTTCCTCAGACGTGAAATGCGGATGTGATGGCCCAACCCAGTTCCCCAGCCGTGATAACGAATGTGATAGTCCGACCCAGTTTTCAGACGTGAAAACGGATGTGATAGCCCTATCCATTTCGCCAGGCGTGATATCGGATGTAATAGCCCAACACAGTTCCTCAGACGTGGTAACGGATGTGCTATAGTCGTAGTGATCACATCCGTATTATTATATTTCATAAAATGTTTAGATGTTACTGGAAAAAATGAATGGTATGTTCCAGTGTGGCGGCAAAAGTAACAGCGAACTTTGTGGACTAATTTGGGTATCTAAAGGGAAGTAACTTGTTTCTAAGATTTTAAAATTAAAGGGATTATAAAGCGATTTTCTAATATCAAAGGAACACAAAACATTTGAGGGAAATTGTAATGATGTAAAAATGAGCCATATTGATCCAAATACATCAAAAGATGTTAGAAAACCTTTTTAAGTCTTATTTTCTTAAGTTCTTGAGCAATTAATTAGAATCATAGAGCAACATGGTTTGGTACCTTACCTAATCTAGGATGTGACTTAGCACACTCGCCTACATTGCTGCTGACCACCTCGAACTGTGGAAGTATGATATGATCATTGACAGCTACTGGTGTATCGTTCATAGCCCAGGCCAATATCACGTTATCTTGATCAAATCCAACTGAAAATATAAGTATTAAACACTTATATGAGTTCTAATTATTAAGGTTCACTTACATTATAGCGATTATCAGTTGCGTATGGTTGCAAATAATGAATGTGGTCATGTACTCAGTTGCATGAGAGTTGCGTTCGAAAATTATGACCGCTATTCTTATTCGCAACCTTACGTAAATGTTGATGCTATATATGGTGCGGGGGCATTTTTAATCAAAAAACAAAATTGGATGTAACTTCTAGATTATAATCCTAATCACTTTGACAAAGGTGCAAATCTGGATGTTTTCCTTCCTATGGGACCCTCCACAACCGATTCATAGAAGCCACTTGCAGAGCAAAATGTCACAATTGTAGTAGTAAATATTAGCATTGAACTTACAACTTTCCATCTGAAGAGCGCAGATCTGTTTATCGAAAGGATATTTTCGTAGATTCATGGGACATGACATTGTCAGGGATAATCTGAAATAAACGGAAACAAAAGATATTTTCGTATGGGCTCCAAATACAAAAGTTCGACTAAGTGAAGGCATGTTGATGTACCGCTTTGAATATCGCGAGGCACTAGGAATATGTATCGCGTCTATCACTAATAGAGCTTTACCTGCTAAAGAGAAACACGGTAGTTTCAGACGTTGGTTTAGGATGGTTTTCAGATTCATGCTGATAACGACTACAGCGACTCTCGAAAATGTCCAACCAAGAGTAAAATGATCTTCAGATTGTACAAAGGGTTCACCTACCGAGCATAAAATGTTAGTCTACCATCAGGGTACAATCGTACAACTTTATTTGGTGTCATAATTTTGTGAAACGCCGCCATCTTCTCATTAGGGAAGTATAAATCCGGAAGCCATATTTTCTCCATGTTGCGATTGTCTATCTCGAAAAAGTCTACATCATCAAAATTATAATATAGATCTCGTTGTGTCCAGGAGAGTTCCATCAGAATACTGACCGTATAATCCTGAAAATAAATGTACGTTGCGCTGCGTCTGAAATATATTTGCATATCACCAAAACCAACAAATATCAATTTTTGTTCCCATTTGTAAACTATTCGACTTATCAGATGTGTTGGGATCAAAATGTACAAATTGTAACGAATACCAGTAACTTGATAACAAACGTTTTAAAGCGGAGCCGATTCATTATTTTCTTCAGTACTGATTTGCGTTGCGAGTTATGTCTAGGTAGCAAAAGCTGTCGGGGAGTGGCACTACATCCAGAATGAGTCCCAGATTAACTGACCGAATACTGGATGCATTTTAGAAGTCATTCTATAACAAATTATCAGAACTTTTTTTTTCTATAATTCCAAACATTGATATTGGAATGTATTGACTTACTAGTCTGAGTTTATTTACTGAGTAAAACTTGAATTGACAATTTGTTCTTTCGATTACATTCGAAATGAAAATAAATCGGAGTTTTAAGTCGAACATGTCTGCATCTTCATTGGCTATTGAAACTGGTGATGTAGAATGTATATTATTGTGTTTTTCTATAAAACCTATCTTCATTAGCGTAAAAGCACACAAAATAAAGAGAGCGTAACATATTTCATTTCATTTCTGTTCATTTCTGTTAATGCTCTTTTATTGCCAGGGTCGTAGCCGGACTTGATTGTTCGGAGGGACAAGTAATATATCCAGCAATGGAGTGATGCAAGGGGTCGCTCGTTAGGATTTTTCAAGAATAATCGGGGGCTCATTTGAGTAACAGGACTAAAGACAGAACAATAGGACGTAAAACTCCTAAAATTCCTAATCTTACCATGGCTGCTTCACTGACGGAATCAAAACTATCCACGTATATCTGACATTCTATCGTTGTAGCTAAATCTAAAATTAGAAACATAATCTACTTTCGTTTTTAAAAATAATATTCACTTAGTTATCAGTTGATGGTGTAATATCGTGTAAGTGGCAACTAAGTGCCAATCTCCGTCCTGACAGCAGTACAGATAACATATAATCGGTTAAGTGTATTAAAGATGCAGTCCTGCGCTAGTTTATAGGGTATAGGGTATATCATGCAATATCTACATCATGGCATAGCAGAGCAGAGTTGAAGGGGATACATCCAGAGGCGGAGAAAGGTTTACGTCCGAGAGGGGGCGGGAAATATAAGATGTTCCGAATCTCTAACCTATGAGATTTTTGCCCGAAAAACTTGCTTTCGGGGCTACTGGCTCTGCCACCCTATACATACTGACATGTCGAAAAAAGCAAATAGACTTCGCATTACTAACTAAACCAGTTGCCAGAACAATGTGAAAACATGACGCTTAAACATAAAGTTAAAGATATGTTGGACCTTACCTTCGTCAAAATTCGGAGGAACTCTACTGTCTTTACCATCAAGTTTTCTTAAAACATTGTTTAACATATCCGATCTGAAATAAGATATAAAAAATGATACTTCAAGACTTATAATTTGGAATCTGTTTTTATAGGGTTTTTTATGACTGGTTAATGGACGAAGAGCAAATTAATGGAGGCCGCCATGTTATTGTTAAGCAGCCCGCTCTACGTCACATTCGGTATCGCGATTAACTAATGAAAAATAATTTCAAATACAAATTGAAAATTTGAGCGGTTGAATATCTTTTTTTTAACTATAATAAGGTGTCTAAAAAAATCACACAACAATTTCTTGTTCTTTAATAAACGGTGAAATATAAGAGTAAAAGTGGCCGCTACTTGCTTCCATACACGTTCTATCACACTAATAACTTCAAAGGCTAAGGATAATTCAATTTCGTTATTAAATTATATCTAAGCCATTTTGAAAGAAGAAGTGAATTGAATAGTCGGTATCAGATACAAGACCACCATTGATCTGTGTTATACCAAAACTTTATAGCCGCTTCGGGTCAATTTTGTAATTTACATCAAACGATTGCTGTTTAGGGAATGGTCGATTAGCTCCAGACGAGTTAAATGAAGATTACGTTAACTTAATTATGAAGCTTTAGGCAATTAGCATTATGATGCCCGAGTTAAATTAAAAAGGCGACTTGTAGCTTAAACTTATGTTAATTCTAGAAGAACCAGCCAACTAGAAGCATAAAATACAGGCGTATTGGAGCTTAAACTTTCGTTAACTTAATTATGAAGCTTTAGGCAACTGGTATCACAGAGTTTGAGTTAAATTAAAAAAGCGACTTGGAGCTTAAACTGAAGTTAATTTGGTTAAGAGCAATAGGCAACAAGCAGCATGATGCCTGTGATTGGAGCTTAAAGTGAGGTTATATTGGTTTTGAAGCTTACAGCAGCTAGCAGAATAAAGCCTAGCCTTTGTGTTAATTTCGACTTTTAAGCGATTTACAGCTTAAAATTTTGATAACATTGTTTCCAAAGCTTAAAGTAAAAAATATTTAAGAGCTTAAGGCAAGCTGAAAACTGGTTTGTTCCAACCATTATCTTAAGTACAGAATCTGGTTAATTCATAATTTGAACATAGACGAATATCTACAAGTTTCTGGAATATACTAGTAGGTCAATGAGGAACAATATAGAAATATAATCTGATTATACAATCTATTACTGGCCTTGTGGTTCATAAAACAATACCCAATACAGTTATTATACTGCTGTTTATGAGATTCTTATAATTGATTCCTAGAGCTTGCTGTCATAAAAATTCCTAGGAAAGTTTCACTGTAGCGTTCAGCTTATTGGAACGGTTTAAGTGTAACTAGATATATTTCTAGATTGATAAGTTGATTTTCTCCCTAAGTTTAGAAAGTATATATATATATATATATATATATATATCAAGGGGAATGTAGTTTTACGTCATATTTTTTTTGCCTCCATTAAGTTTCTTGGCTTTAATCGGCATTCTGGTTTTTTTCGTAGGTCGAAAAATCTTTTTGCCCAAATTAATGAAAACTTTATACAAAAATCTAGAGTAATGTGTCCCTTGACTTAACTGTCCGTTCGTTGATTTTTTAACGCCAAAAATATTAAAAATGTTAGCGAGACTTTTTAGTCCATTCTGATTTTTGATAGGTTTAAGAAAACTACTGCACTGATGAACGCCTAATTGTAGAGAAATACGTCTCGTGCCGTTTCAGGTTTCAATTAATAGTTTCGAGTCTTTATGAGGTCAAACACCAAAACTAGTTTAACCTCCTTAATAAAAAGAAAGTAAACTCCGTTCTTAATTTACCCTTTTAAAACTAATTTAGTTTCGTCAAGTAGATACATATGATGTAAATAAAATATTGTCATAATATTGTCAGGTGTTTTTGATAATGAAAGTTTTGCCTGCTGCCCCTTTAACATTGACATTCGTAAGAGAGATCGGTCAAGATAAATATTGGTTATTATGGTTATTGAAATAGTTTTATGGCTACTTTTAATCGATTTATATACTATACGCCATAAAGTTGGAGTAGGAAATAGGTTGTACTCTAAATTGAGAGTTGAGATATCAGTTTAAGCTTTATAATAATCAATAGCATTTTGACAAAATCTTTCACTTATCATTCGATAAATTATCCCTTCTGATCGTGGAAAACTAAGTCGTGTCAGGCACAGACAGTCGTATTAGGCTAATGCCACCGTCCTCGAAAAATGTTCCTCGCTGCACACTAAATGACGTATCCCATTTTCATTAGCCCATTGGGAGCATAAAAATAGGACATAAAACTCTATTCATTTCATGCTATCTCAAGTATAGTTCTTTAAATCTTTGAACACCCATGTTATATGTTTTGGGTGGGTTTTACAACTGAGGCGGATGGAGTGAAAACCCACTTTAATGATAATAAAATACAAATAAAAGACGCATTTATAAAAAAAAAGTGAAAAATGAAGCGTTTAACATTAGTTTGCCTATTCAATTACACTTCTCCATTCATCCTATTTAAGGAGAATGATGAGAGATATCGATTTTGTATAGACTCAGAAGTTTTAAAGTACTGGATAATGAAATGTGCTAGTCATATAGTCGTCCTCAGTCCGTTTTTATACTTATACACATTGTACAAATAGTTATAACCATACTTGATTGATGAAACGGATTTTGGCAGTTATTTGACAATTTCATTAAAGTACACACAATATTTGCTATGTATTGTCTTCGAACAACTAAAGATACATTCTCAACTTCACAGCAAAAGAACGAGCTTTTCCGCACTATGGGGGGAGGCGGGGTCATGAATTTGTATATAGTTAAAACAAATTAAGTCGAGCACTGTCTTGCCTAAGAAACTGTCCTCAAAACGAACAAAGCTTCAATAAGATACAGAGATCAAAGTACCTACGTACGGGTGTGACGCCAGGCATGGCATGCTTACTCTTCTAGACACCTGATATCATTTTTCATAATGAAATACTTTCTCTCTTATGATTGGTATACTTCCTCGTGTGAAAATTTCATTAGCTGTTACCAAAGTTTTGCCAATATGTTGTTTGGATTTCGGGTTTCTTTTTTGTGGTTCAGATTGGTAGTACTTGGTTTATTTTTACACAATCATGACGAACACTGAGATAGAAACTATTCGTAAACAAAGCTCGACATTGATTTATTCTCTTAAAGTCTGTTTGTAAACCAAGTGAAATAATTTGTTTACATGGTCGTCTCTGATTGACATACTAATATAATACCGCGATTTATGATGTGGAATTTATCTATCATGATTGATAAGACTAGCACGGAGTTGTAAATCCCGAGTTATTGATTCAATCAAACTCGGCCATCAACAATATCGCTGTTATTTTTATTCCATCAATGCGCTATCGTAAAACAATCGAGTGCATACAAATTCTATTTTCTTTAAGGTAGTTCTCAGAGTTTGTCAGTTTGTTTTAGCCTTCGTATGCTTGTCGTATCATTTCCTCTTCCTTGCCCGACTTCTAACATCTCTGTAATTCCACAAAATCTTAGCAATAAGAAACGATTTTTCTTGCCTGCTAACATCTTCAAGATGGTCAAGAGATTACGAACTTTGTCGTATACCTTGACTACAATAACTACTGTTCTTGCATCACGTAATTCAGCGAAAACAGCCAATAGGAGCTCTCCACAGACAGAAATTCTTTCTAAATCTGAACAAAGATGAAAGATGTGATTGGTGAATGGGAACAATAAGTTCAGCTCAAGATTGGGCCCATGAAAACAGACAGCACCATTTACATGTAATGTGTTACACGGAAAGATTTGCCAGAACAGCAGAGTAAAATCTAACGTAGGGAATCAAACATGACAACCCTTAGCCTTTATCAATTTTAATTGCGACAATTTCAGGGTTTATATCTAGAAAAGTATAGACAAAAGAAAGAAGTAATTTCAATTTTTTTGGACATAAAGCAATAGGCGAACCCAACATTTCCAAAGTTCATTTTCCCATTCGACCGACTATCGATTGTAACCTCCCTACCCCTAACCCCACCCTCAACTAATGTTTCCATGAAGCGCGACTGATAACGAAACCAGAAGAGAGAGCTATATTCTATATCAGTGTTTCCTAACCTATTTCAGCCTTCACATCCCTGGTTCAACCACATAGACCCGCAAATATTTGTTTATCCACATTTCCAGCATGTGATGATGTGAGGTGCTCTCATGACTCAATATAAAATCTTCTCCTACACCAGTTGGCCACACCCCTGACACTCTAGTCTCACACCCCAGGGGGTGAAAACACTCCAGGTTGGGAACCAGGGTGCTAGATAGTAATCTATGAAACAGAAATAGTCTTGTCAAATTCCACCATAAATAATATTTTATTTCACTAGCTTCTACATCTCATATCGATTGAATCAAATTATATTACATCTGTATTTCTAGTTCTAGCTTTATCTGTATAGACAAAAATCTCGGGTGTTCTTTTATATTTCTTTTTT